AATCAACACAGTCTAATGAGACAGGTTGTTGTACTCCTCTGGCAGAGATTCCCGAGTGACATTTGTCAGAACTGGCTGTGCTTTTTTAAACTTCTAACACCTGCAAAAACCAACTTTTTTCATTTTCTTTACAAGCAAACTACAGGCATTAATATGGCCCACAGAATACCTGACATCTCATACACACAAGACAAGGCCAATGCTGACCCTCCAAATTCCCATCTCTCTCTCACATCATTGTGTGGGTAATTCTGTGTTTTCAGATCATCCCTTCAGCTGTGCTTCCCATGTCAGAAGAGTTTTTGTTTGACTGTTTAGGAAACATGCTCAAGAAGACCAATTAGACAAGCATGCACACATCTCTTTGCCAACATTTCTTCCCATCATTTTGGTATTTTAGCCAAAGGCCCATTTGGGCTTCTCTGAGGGGTGATGTGTCTCTTTCTGACGGGACTGCACTTGCCCCTGCACACAGACTTTGTATGTAAGAGATGGCTTTCTATGTGCAGCTTGCAGTTTATCACTACATCAATCTTACTGAAAATGCAAGCCTTTCACCAAGGACAGACATTTAAAACAAGGGTGTGCACCTTTCTGCAAAATTCTCACTACAACACTGTTGTGATTAGGCTGTTTATTCATACCCAATAACCAATTATTCCCTATTTCCAGCACGGATCAGAGAGTTTAGCCTTTTGAAATGAAAGAGCAAGCAGACAATTCTAGAGGTAATCTTCAGTAGGGGTCAGTCAGAACCACAGAGCAATGCAGATCTCCCTGAAATCCCAATACAGATCCTGTCAAACCCATCTCATGTAATTACATTCACCAGCCTTGGCTGATAAAAGTCACAGTGCAGATGAAAGATTTCTGGAAGGGAGTTTCACGTGGTACCACACAGGAGTGTTACACAACCAGTACCACAGAGAGTCAAAAGAGCACTGAGTAAATGAAAACTGTAAATGAAAACTGCATCAGAGAGGCCATTGGAGAAGAGATGCACCTACTGCAGGTGGTGTTTATCCAGGTCACCATTAGCAGCAGCAGGGTGGAAAGGCAGTCCTGATGACAGGCTTTGCATACCAAACACTGCCAGATATGTACCCAGGGAGGACAAGGCTGTCATATTCAGCACCACAAGCTGCTTCAGAAGGTAAATCAGCATTGGTTAATATAGTTAAAGGCCTGCTACTCATCAACCCAGGCTCTGGGCTCCTGCTGAATATCAACTGAAGTTTGCTCAGTGGCTACAGTGAGAGTCAGCAGTTCCTCACTGAGCTCATTAATGCAGAGCTCAGGAAGGAGTGCAAACCCATCATTTCCTAATGCAGACAGCCACTGCTACAGCCAGGCTGCATCCTGGAGGAACTCTGTGAGAGAAGCTAATTTTCTGTATCCCCTGGCTGGTATTTATTTTTCTTTATTTTCTGATATTTATTTTTCTGAATTTTCTGTATGCCCTGGCTGATATTTTTTTTTTCTCCTCAAAATAAGCCAGCAGAGTTCTGACACATTCAGGTACCATCCCAATTCAAGGATCATTTCTAATAAAATACATCTTGGTGTCTATTTGAAATCAGCAGTTCAACATAATCAAACAAAATATAAAAAATACTTTTTTCCTTAGTCTCAGCCTGAGCATTTGGAGATTTTGCGGATAATTAGCAGTTCACACTATCTCTTCCTCACTCCACCTGGGACATGATATAAGCCAGCCTGGCTCAAACTGTCATGACTTCAAAGAAAGCAAGTTTTCCCGAATTTGATAAAGGTTGCTTTTTCTTACATCGCATCAAGATCTATAACCTCACTGCCTTTTAAATGTTTGCCCTCCTCCTTCAGGGTATCAGCACTTCAGAGATGAGGGGGAGGGAATCAACATTTATAACACTCCCAAATTCCCATGAGTCTTTGACATGAGCTTTATATTTCATGATTACTGAAGTGTTGTTGAAATAAATGGTTTTCCCCTGCAGAAATGTAACATATTAAATAAATAAATGGACATGGGTTACGCAAGTAGAATCAAAAGTTTCAGGCAAGCTCCCATAATACAAGCAGAAACTGAAAAATTTGGATACAATGGACAGAACAGTTAGCTACTATCAAAGTTATCCTAATATGTAACTTGCTTCTGTATGAAAGACAGTTTTATTGATTATTCCCTATGTCCAAAATCTCTAATTGTGATAATTTGCCAAAACCATCTTTAAAATACATTATTTCTGAAAATATTTTACTTGAACAATAGAACTATTGCATTTATAGAAAGTATTTTCGTTTTATAGTCAAAGTTCCTTTTGAATACTATGTAAAAATAATTGTAACAGGATTGCTTAAAGGCATTGAAAAATTTAAAAGCACAAAGTCAACAGGTTAAGAAAAAACCGTACTGCAATCCAAACTTGTTTTTAAATGGAAAATCTGAGCCACACCTACAAAAATAGGAGCACATTTTCTCTGTTCTCTATTTTCTTCAAGAAAAAGACTCAAACAGATTCTCTTTGATAGAAAAGAACTATCACACAATAGCAGGAAGTCATAGATCACTGAAAGCAAACTGCAAATAAGCCACACAAGAAAGAGATTCCCTCCTCATTGGTGTAACATCTTTTAGAGCAAAAGGAGCTTTCTTTGGTTTAGCACAAACTTCAAAGTGACAAACTCAAACCCTGTATTCCAGAGTAAAAGTCCCTGCAGAGAGTTACACCTGTATCTGCCTCCATTCATCCTCAGCCTCGTTCCACTATGATCTGCTGAACCAACAGTCCCAAGATATTGTCTCATCACAATCAGGCTCTGGGTAAGGCTTCTTGGTACTAAATACATACAGAAAGAGGTTCAACCAACAGGTTTAATCCAGCAACCTGCACCTACTGGTAAATTTGTAGAATTTAATTAAAAAATATTAAAAACTCCTTTATCTTTGATAAAGAACTTCAGGTCAGTCTTTTTAACACCATTTCTAGAAAAAACACCACTTTCCATGACAAAAGATGTCACATAGGTTCTATCCCCTTTCAACAGAAGTAAAACAGGGAGAACAGAAGTGTCAGATGAAAGGTTAATGAAAAGACTCTTGACATGCCATTAGTTAATTATTGATTAATTTATGGAAATAATTTAAAAATCAGAAGTGATTTCTTTTACATCAGTATTTTGAAATGACAGAAGTTGGTTTCAGAAAGGTCTTTTATTCATACTCGTTTTCTAAGAAAAAACAATTGAAATCCAGACTCAAACACTTTGCTTCTGCATTTCTTAAGCGCAGTCCTACACAAGTAACAAGGCTGAATGTTTATGATTTCTTACTATGCATTCATGGTAAATATGTTTAGTGAATTAGCAGAGTGTTTCACAGACTGCAGAGGCAGGGTTGGCAAACCACAGATCGAACTCGTTCATTGGCAAAAACACCATTTCACCCCCTGTTGGCTGCTCCTACAGAGGCCATCGAGACTGGCTCTGCTCCGCACACACGACATCAGCCTGAGCAAAGCTGATCGACTGGTACTGCTAAATGAGCTTTCCCACATGCAAAGAAGTACAAATCCAGTGTGTTCTTCCAACTGACAGCAGCCCTACACTAGCAATAATCAACAACAATAATCAAACGAGCAATAATCAAACACACAGATTTTGGTCATTTAGTAAAAACAGCTTTGAGATTAGATATCTCAGTGGCAAAACTTCAAATATTTATTCCAAACACTCACAAAACATGACATTGTTATTATATATATGTGTAATTATTATGCCTGCATAACTCCAGCAGATAATACTTGACCTCTTCCTAGCAAATATGAATCCCTAAGAGCTTCCTTATGGGCACATACTTTCACCTTGCAGAAATAGATAAATAATCTTTGGTTAGAAAGGCCAAATAAAATCTCTAACCCTTAATCATCTCATTCCTTTCAGTCACCCATTCTAGATGCCACAAAGAGAGACAGAGCTACAAAGTGTCAGGCAGCACCAGCAGACAACTGGTGATCGTTACCAGTAACTGGGAAGACAAGAGTTAAGCCCCTGCACGAAGCTTAGAATCGGAGTTAGTTTTCTCTATCGACATGACTTCTATCCAACTTAAACCAGGCAGGTATTATAGTAAGGATTAGTAAACATTAACATCTTAAGAGTCTAATTACTGCCTAACTTCTTTAAAACGCTGCACTGGACATTTACCTGGGAAAGCCTTCTCTCAGCTACTGCTGAAAGTGGTGCAGTGATTTAGAGAGCTGGATGTGCTTTCTTTGGAGTTGCTGCTGTTGCCATACTTCCAGCAACCAGCGCCAAAGCACATGCCACTGCTTGCGTAAACCAGGCGATCAACAGTGTTATTTTAACTTATCTATTGACCCCAAGTGCAACAGCCAGATTTTAGAGATTCTAATGAATGAAGGTGATGAAAACATGACAGATTATCAGTTCCTGCTAATTATGAACACACTGATAGATTGTAGAACCTCCTGAAAATACAAATACCAGAATCATTTACAGGTTGTGGTTAATGAAAATAAAATCGTTAAAGAAAAGACTAAAGCTACGACTCCGTGACACTACAAAGCGACTCGAAGCAAAGAAGGATCAACAAGAAGCCCTTTAGTTACTGGCTCTCCACTAAATTCTCACTCTGTAAAACCAAATGCCTGTAAAAACATTGGATGTTTATCCAAACTTTGCGCAAATGGACAAGCTGGAAAAAAACCCTCACAGGAACAAAACGCAGATTGTTATCCCGACCTCTTCATGCGTGCTGAGCTAATCCCCAAAACCAGCACAAATTCACAAGACAGAATTACTAGAACAACTCTCGTTACCTGAGCACTCGCTTAAATCACAGGGAAAAAAAATAAAAGGCAAGGAAAGAAGATACGAATCTCACGTTTTCCCAACCAAACTCAGCCACCTCCCCTCCTGAGGAGAAATCAGGTCTGCCACATCGTTACACCTCGGGGCTGGAAAGCGCACGGAGGAGGGCACGGAGGTGTGAGCATTACCTGCCAGCGGCCGTAGCTGAGCAGCAGGAGCGCCAGGGGGATGGCAGTGCCCGACATGGCGTGGGTGGAGGGCATGCTGTACTCGGAGTTGTAGAAAACCTCCAGCTTCACCACGGGCGGCGAGGCAGGACGCGGCCAGCGGATCACATCCTTGGTGCACTGCCCCAGGTACATCACCCACACCCAGATGATGATGAGCCTCCGGCCCAGCCAGGCGTCCACATTCCAGATGCAGAAAGGGAAAAAGAGGATGTAAAAGAGCTCGTTGCCCAGCTCCGTGCCCAGGCTGAACAGATAGTAGAGGAAGCGGCTGCGAGTGGCGAACTCCTGGCTGCCGTCCTCCTCCTCCGTCAGCGAGTTTCGGCGCGGCCTCCTCCTCCAGCGCCGCGGGGTTCCCGCCGCGCCGGGCACGGCCCCGTTCCCAGTGGGATGCGCCTGCCCGCCCGCGGGGCCACCGTTCGCCACCGGCCCGCGCTGCTCCGCGTCGGCCCAGCCCGAGGGCCCCTCCACCCCGCAGAGCCGCTGGAACGCGGCCACTTTCCGCGGGTCCTGCAGGTGGGCGGCCAGCCGGGCCAGGCGCTGGCCGAGAGACATAGCGGCGGGACCGGGGGCGGGCTGAGGGCGGCGGGGGACTTCGTCTGAGGGGCGAAGAGGAGGAGGGGGGCTCCGCGGAAAAAGAGAGACGCTCCCTGAAGAGAAACCCGCTGAAAGGCGAGGCGCCGCGGATACCGCAGGACTACCCTCGCCTCGCCCGCCGCCGCCCGCCGCTCGCTCCCTCACGCCCTCCCCGTTCGTTCGCTCCCTCCCTCCCTCACGCCCGCGCCAGCCCCGCCCCGCCGCGCCTGCGCACAACTCCCCCACCCCGCGGGAAACGCCCATCGCTGCGCGGATTGGCCTCGGCTCTCTCTCGGTCCCGCCCCCACGGGCGGCGCAGCCAATCGGAGCTCGGCATTGCGCGAGGCGGTGCACGGCGTGAGGCGGCCACGAGCGTGCGGGGCAGAGGCGGCGGAGGGCGGCTCGTGGGGTTGGTCGGGGAACGGTGGAGGAGCCTCTGCGAGGCGGTGCACGGCGTGAGGCGGCCACGAGCGTGCGGGGCAGAGGCGGCGGAGGGCGGCTCGTGGGGTTGGTCGGGGAATGGTGGAGGAGCTTCTTCCTCCTCCTTCTTCTCCTCCTTCTTCTTCTTCTTCGTTATAGAAACACCGAGTCAGTTGCGGTGGAAGAGACCTCTGAGATCATCGAGTCCAGCCTGTCACCGATCACCGCCTTGTCCACTAGACCATGGCACTGATCGCCCCATCCAATCTTTTCTTGTCCCTCCAGGGACAGTGACCCCACCAGCTCTCTAGGCAGCCCATTCCCAACCATCCTTTCCGTGAAGAAATTCTTCCTGCTATCCAACCCAAACCTGCCGTGCTGCTGCTGGAGATTTCTCGGAGCCTAACTCTGGTGGTGTAAACACGGGAGGGAAAGCGGAGTGGTCGCAGCCGCGGCGGTCAGGCCGGTTGAGCCATGGCGGCAGGCCGTGACCACAGGGCTGCGGAGCCGCTCGGGGAGGTTCTGCAGCGCCTCAGGCGAGCACTCGTGTCTTATCCCGTCTCCGTAGTCGGGAGGAGACTCCACATCTCCTGAGAGTGTGTGTGTGCAGGGCTGGGAGTTCAGCAGGAGCAGGAGATTTGTGAGCAGGTACTTTGCAAGTCCACAGTTCCTGCGGTTTCCACCCTGGAAATGCTGTGGGAAATGCAGCCTCTGGTCTTCTCAGCTTTTTGTTCCTTTTGCCTGTACTGCAGATGCTGCAGTGTATTTGTATTTTGTCTTAAAATCAGGAGCTTAAAGAAGTGATAAACTGTTGTTTTGTGCCGTTTTTAAAAGGATGAGCAATATGACCCAAGCAACTGGTTACTTAATAGTTATCCTAAGCAAAATAGAAAATCTGATGTGGAATTCAAATAATAAAAAGTCGAACAAAGGAATATGATGCAGATCTAGAGTGTTTTACTTAAAATAGCTATCAATACTGTTTTGAGGAGGTACTTGACTTGGTGCTGCATGATGTTCTCATTGTACACTGCCAGCAAACCATACAAATGGAATTTGCTGCCTTATCTCAAGAAGAAATCTGTATGACAACTTAGTTGAAAGAGATGGTGCCTAAAAAGGCCCTAGTAGCAAGTTCCATGTCCTGCTACGTTTTTAGCAATGATCTGGAAGCAGATCCAAACCTGCTGCTGCAAAAATTCAGCTCCTGGATGAATGGAATTGTAAATAATGACGAGGATGGGGCACCGATCAATACAATGCAGGTTTATACAAGCAGCTTGTTCAAACCTAGAGAATTTTCATTCATCAAACCAAATAGCTGTCTGTCTTAAAACCCAGGTTTGGAGACCATAACTAGAAAATAAAAGACTCTGAAGGTAATGACTTTGAGAAGGATTTAAGGGTCAGATAAGTAAGCAATCAGATAAGGGCTCTCCTCTATGCTGCTATGGCAGAAAAGGATTAATCAATGTATAAACAAAGGAATTAAAAACTGTTTATTTTACCACTCATGTTTGACCTCAATAATATCATCACAGATTAATGCATACAGTGCTGGTTTTCAGATTTTAAGAAGCACATTGGAAAATAAGAGAGAGCAAAAGAATGAAGCAAAATGTTCCGGTGGTTGGAGAAAATACCTTACACTGGGATGTTTCAAGAGCTCAGGCTGTAGTTATCTGGAAGAGAATTGGAAGATGACTTGATTGTAGTGTATAGGAACATTCCTGAGGGGAAATACAGGATCTTAAAGGGTTCTTTAATCTATTGAAGAAAGGCATAATAAGAAGTAATATCCAGAAGCAAAAGCCAGACAAATTCAAATAGGAAATAAGACACACATTTTTCCATGGTTAACCACCAGAACACATTCCCAAGAGAAGCTGAGGATTTACCATCATTTCATGTCTTCTGTTGAAGATCAGATGTATTTCTGAAAATTAGTTTTCAGCCAAGCAGAAGTTATGCTTTCTTTTATTGGATGAACACAGGTTGAAATCTGATGGGCCATGATAAGCACAGCATCAAGTTGATCTGCTGGGACCATTGTGTTTCAAATTCTAAGTGCCAGAAGCAGACATTTCATTTATTACCATGAGCATTAGAATCAATTCTTTTTTTGCCTTGAAATACCTACATACCATAAAAAAGCTGATCTGAATTAAGCCTTTGGCTGCAGAATATATTTACTAAGAAAATATCTAAAGGTTTTGGCCTTTTCCCTCCTAAATTTACACTCTTGGGATTACTTGGGAAAATTTCTTTGCATTTCAATTTAAATCTCTGAAGGAGTAGATCCTTACGAGGAAATTCATTTAGTGCATTAGTGCATTCTGGTTCTCTTGGCCTTGAGGCAATTTTACCTATTTGATGTTCACGTTGTGAAATATTTCTTGTGGGATTATTTTGCAGAGTGCTCAGGTAACTGCACCAAATGAATCCTGATAGATTTGCTATATTGTACATTATGTGTATTTGTATGTGGCATATGTTTTCATCATACAGCCTTAACCTCACTTGAGGCATCATAATATAAACAATTATATTACCAACAGAGGAGCTGCTGTTACTGAAAGAAGGATGAATGAAATAAAAATAAGATTTCAGATCAGATCTCTTGGCAGAGAAACATGAAAAAATCCACCCCCAAAATGGTACATGAGCAATTTTTCTGTCTTGAGACTGGAAGGTCTGTTGTCACTTCTCTGCTTTCTGAGAAATGCTAATCCTGCAAGATAAATGTGCCTCCTAATTTACATGCTTCCCTGGCTCTTGGGCAGAAAATGCAAAGATAGGAGCTGAAAAACAAGCTGCTGCCTCGTTTGTGCATTTTCCCAGAGTCAAGCCACAAACAATCTCCCCTTAAACACAGAACAAACTGAAATCTGTTAATTAACCAGATGACGAATTCTGGAATGAAATCTGAATAACTGCACAGGGGGGAAAAATCAGCGATTACAAAGCAAGACTTGTCTTTATGGTATGTGCTTGGTAACTTAAAAAAGCAGAATGTGTTTGTGTGTGTGGCTAAAACTTGTTTACTTTGACTTTGAACTATTAGTGTGAAAATGGCATGACATTAATACCGAGGGAGCTTTTAAATTACCTCTGTACGTTTTAAGGCAATTAACGATTGCAGTGGGCACTTCAGGAGAGGGTTGGGGTGTGCCCTAACACTGAACTTGGACAGAAATTGTGTTTCTTTGTAGTATCTGCAGAAGATGGCCCTAAGGCTGTTCTGGATCCATTTCAGCTCAGCACACAAGGGCTGCCTGAGCTGACACCCATAACATGCATTTCCAAGGATGCCTGGCAAAGCAGTGCACTCACAGCGTGTTCTGCAGGCTGGCAGGATTTGACAAGACAGCTGTGGGAATCGATGGCAAATGAGGTGCAGAACACATCCCACTTACAGCTGCTGCTGCCACAGCCCTGCCCCGGTGATAGGAAAAGCACCAGGAGTTCCTTTTTGAAGCAGAACATCTTGCTTGGCACCTTAAATGATCACTGGTGTTTAACACACCAGTTCTGCCTTGTAAAGCTTTTAACAATAGCACACCAGTTTATCCCAGTCAGCAGAAGCCAGTTGTTTTTCTGTCCTAATAAAACTGAAGGAGCAGGTGTCAGGATGTTCTCCAGGATTGGAGGATTGTTTTCTGTCATCACCAGAAATAGCTTGAATCCAGTCATCTTTGTGCCAAAGATGCATTTTGTCAGGAGAATTAAGATTATTTCCCAGCATGAGGAAGGATGGAAAGGACTATCCATAGATGTCTGAAGGACTGCCTTCCCATTGAAATAATTACTCTAATGCTGCTAGGGTTGTGTTATATTATTAATGATGTTAAAGTGCCCAGAGTCAGAGGAAAGCTTCATTTTAGATGATTTTTGAATGTCAGTGAATAAAATGTGCTAACCATATCAGGTTTATTATTAATTTTTAAAGAAATTGGTGAGTTGAGTGCCCAGATTTGAGAAGGCAAGAATATATTTATTATAAGGTTTATTATAAGTCTTGAAAAATACATGAGAGTATAAGGGAAAATGGATTTTATTTCTAATGAATGCTTATTTCTCTAAGGTTAAAAAAAAAAAAAAAAAAAAAAAAAAAACCCGGGGGAAATTTTTTTTTTTTAATTAAAAAAAAAAAAAAAAAAAAAAAAAAAAAAGCCTGTGAGAGTTTTGATTTGTTCTTGAGTATTAGCTATTGCAACAGCTCAGTGAAGGAGCTGGACAAGTGCTAATGTACCATTACAGCAGTGGGAGAAAGAACAGACTGAAGGGTTTTCAGCTCACTTAGGCTGTACTTGGTTGTTGCTGAGTCCTGTGTAGTACTTTACTTTGTAAGCAATTGAAGGTATTAAAATACTGCTTATCTCTGTAAAAGTTACTGCTCATGAATCTCAATGATGGCTTTTTCAGTGGAACTTCAAGGAATTTAGCTGTCTTTAGTAAAAATGTGTGTAATGAGGCAATGTAGCACTTCTCTTAGATAAGGTGCAATAACTCTGGCATTCTACATGGACAAAAAACCCTAAAAATCCTCAGTAGTTTGGAAAAAATAAGGTTTGGTTCTTGTGGGGTTTTGGGGTTTTTGGTTTGGTTTGGTCTGGGTTTTTTGTGGTGTTCTAATTGCTAAGCTAAAAATTTTACCACTGCAATAAAAAAATAATTCAATGACTTGCTGCAATCTCCTGATTTCAATTTAGCCTGGTTATGCATTTCTTTCTGCAGAATAATGCTCTAGGTTCTGTATGCAAGAGAACCTTTTTTGTTGGTAGA